CGTCGTTCCTCCGCGTCGCTAAAAATAAGCGCGCACCCGCCACTCGTGCCACCGATCGACGCTCTTCGGCCTTTTGCGCGACCTTAACCTTCTTTCAGCCACCCGTTACGTCGAGGAGCGAGTCTTACGACAGACTTCTTTTTTCTTGTTTTGTTTCGTTTTGAGCAGGCAGGGGTCGCTGGGTCTTTGAAACTTCATCAGTTTGATACGACAGTGGCAAACGAAGAAAGAGTATATTTGTTCTTTCTCCTGGACAAGTTCGGAGAACCCTCGATGTTCGAGCGCAGGAAGAATGGAAAGGAATTAATTCGATTCTTTTATGCTCCCGCCTTTGGAGGAATTTGGAAAGTCAAGTTCGAGACGTGGAAAGAAAGAAAGAAAGAAAGAAAAAAAAAATATTCGTGAAAGAAGAGCGAATGGTGTGTTGGAGAAGAAATTCAGAAACTGGGTGAAGAGGTGTCCTTCGAAATTTTCATTGGAGGAATGCGGAGGAAAGTGGAGGAGTTAAGAAAAGAGAACGATGAATTATAACGAAGAGACAACGGGAAGGAATTAATTCGAACGCAATGGGAGGTAGAATTAATTCAGGAAATTCGATTCTTTTCTGCTCGCTTTGGAGGAATTTGGAAAGTCCGAGTTTGAGACGTGAAAGAAAAGGGGCAAGGAAAAAAATTCAGAAATTGGGTGAAGTGGTGTTCTTTGAAATTTTCATTGGAATAGGAGAGTAGCGGGATTGACAAAAGGGACGAAGGGAACGGTGAATTGTGCGCCGAAGAGGCAATTTAGAAATCGGGTGAAGAGGTATTCTTTGAAATTTCCTTTAGAAAAATTCGGAGTGTCGAGTGGACGAATTAATGTGGAAGAAAAGCGAGCAGAGAGGTGAATTGTATTGGAGAGGGAATTTAGAAATGAGGTATAGCGGTATTCTTTTGGAACTTTCTTTGAAACGGCTTAGGAAGTCGTGTTCGAGACACAGGAGAATTAATAGAGGAAAAGAGAGTGATGAAGAGTTGAAAGGATCGGTCAAACCTGCGAGTGGGACAAGGAAAGTCGTATTGTTTGGGATTTTCTTTAAAAGTTTCGTAATTTCCTTTCGAAACGCGAAAGGCTTGATGAAAGGCTTGATGGTGAATTGGATCGAGAGAAAGCACTTACGAGTAAGTCGAGGGAATTTGAAAGGAATCGCGTGGAAAAATTGTCGGGAAAAGAATAAATTGAATTAGATTGCAAGGGAAAATTTCCCTTCTGAAATTCCAAGAGCAGTTGAAACTTGCGACGAATTTACGAGTGAAATAAAATTAAAAAATGAAAGATAAAAGAACTTTGGAATGTTCTTTCAAAATTTTGGATCATGCCTGGATAAATGAGTGAAAGGAAAATGCGACAGGAATGGAAAGTTAAATTGAAAGAGACTAAATGAAGAAACGAATAGAAATAATAAATTGTTTCAAATGAACAAAAAAAAGAAAAGAAAAAAATAGAAAGCAAGAATGTGCTCTAAAATTTTCTTTCAACGTGTGAATGTAAACCTCGCCTAGAAGAATGAATAAAAGAAAAATGCAATGTGAGTGGGAAATTAAAAATTTGAAAGAGACTGGACGAAGAATTGAATAGAAATGATATATTTCTACGAACGAAACAAAACGAAGAAATGAAAATAAAAAGCAGGAATGTGCTTTAAAATTTTCTCTCAAAGCTTGAAGCCTCGGCTGGAAGCGAAGAATGAATGAAAGGAAAACACGGCAGAAGTGGTAAATTAGATTGGAAGAGACTGAATGAAGAATGAAGGGGGCGAGATAATTTGAAGGTTTATCGGGAGAGAAAAGAGACGAGGTATAGTCGAGAGTTGCGGAGATTAGGAGACAAGGGTCGATTCGAAATTAGTGTGAACGTCGGTAATAATGAGCGAAGATTAACTGCGGAAGTCTGTGCGCTCTCGGAAGCGACAATTCGAAATCACGATTCTGATTGCCACGTTAGCGCGAACGGCGAGCGACTTATCCTCCGGAGGGTTTTGATTAGGGAAATCCGATTAGGGAACGCGGAATTGGCAGACAGAGAAGTCGTCTCGTTACGACGAGTGTACAGACTTCTAGAAATGTGTGTTAATTGCGGCCTATGTAGACGGTAATAAGGAAAGTGCTTAATGAATGTTTCCTCATTACATCAAAGACTTAAACTCGTGCTTGACAAAATTTCTTTCTCTTTCTCACAATTGTGACACTTAGTTGGGAGACAAAATTCGACAAAGTCGAAAAATATATTTTGCTGGTAGTTTGAGAGAACATAATTGCAATATTTGGTGAGAGACGAAATTCGACAAAATTAAAAAATATTTAAGAGATTTTATATATATATAAAAGTAATATATTTCGAAAACGAAGAAATTTGAAGGAGAGGAAACCGTTAATGAATTTTTTTTCTCAAGCAAAGAATTTTAAAGGAAAATGCAGAGAGTCTCTATTTCTTGTCCGTTTGACAATAAAAGCGATGAACGCAGTGATAAAAGTGATAAGAGTGTATGCACGTGATTCTGTTTTCGATATGTTAGAATACGAGAACGGTGAATCGAAGTAATTACAAAGAGGACATTTCAGGACAAATCAGGGGTAGCTTTTATCAAAAAAAAGAGAGAGAAAAACAAAAAAAAGGGGGGGGG